GGGGGGGGGGGAGAGAGAGAGAGAGAGAAAGGGAAATAGGACGGAGCGGCCTTGAGTCCACCCCAACGGCAGACGCCATCATCACACGGGATGCGCAGGCAGCGATCCAAACCCTCCGCCGACGAACACACAGAGAAGGTCGAGGCGCACCGACGAACTCGAGAGAGGCACAACAACAACAACAACAACAACAAATCCAGCGGCAAATAGGTGCAATAAAGAATACTCTGTGACATGATCCTCACCACACAGGAGAAGAGAGAAAGGGAAAAACGACGAAGGACGGGAAGGGGGCGGGGTACTCGCTTCTCTCTCTCTCTCTCTCTGTGTGTGTGGGCGTGGTGATTCATATTATCCATGTGCTCCTTCTCACTTCAGTGCGGCGGGCGTGCGCCTTACCCGTGAGAGACAAGACACACCCGCAAGGGTCTCGCTGTACAGCTGCACGCATCGAATCCCCGCGAGTGCATCGAGGCCAGCCGCGTAGTAAAGTGACTCGGCCTCGCGCAGCTGCTGCGCAAAGGCGGCCGCCACATCATCCACAGTTGGCAGGAGTGTCTCGACTCCTTTTGCCTCCTTGTCTGTGGCACCGCTGAATGCGTTCATGCATGCAGCGCCGCTTTCTGCCCCTTGACAAATGATGTGCTGAAACAACAACTACAAAGAAGAGCAGGATGAAGGAAGAGAAATACTTATTGGTTCCTTCTGCGACACTCACCCACTGAATCAGATGAACGCAGTTAAACACACAGCTGTGGCAACCATACCCCTCAGCAAGTTGAACCGAACTCTTTTACATGGCGTCCAGAGAATAAAGCGTGGCGAGAAGCCGTCCGTGCGTGCCTCGTTGATCGTCTGTGTGCAATATGAAATACATTTCCTCGCACTTCCTTCCCGTTCCCCCATTCTTTGCCTGTTATTTCGCATTCTTCGCCGCTCGTTGATTCGGTCGTGCCCGTGATTGAGGCCGCGACCGAGGTCGCACGGACTTGCGCCGCCTTCCCCGATCCGTTGAGCGAGGCGACCCGGATGCTGAACGCGGCGGCATCACCATGGAGCTCGAGCGGCGCCGCCTGTCGCCGACGCACGCCAGCGCCTTCGCCTTGGAGATGTCCAGCCGCCCGCCCTTGTGCTGTGCGAAGTAGGAGCACAACCCCCGATACTCGCGCTGCATTTCGTGCATCTTTGTCTGGCACCACTGCTCCCACTGCGAAGACTTAGAGTCGCTGCACTCCTCAATGACGTTCATCGCCTTCACGGTGAGTGCCACAACCATCGCGCGCCACCACGTATCGAAGCAGAGAGGCACCCGCTCCATCTCACCCTGAATGAGGTTTGCGGTCTTAAGCAGCGTATCATATGGGTTTGTGGGCCCGCAACGGCGCAGGAGTGGGTGCAGATTCATGTCCTGCGAAAGCGCGGAGCCTGTGGTAGCCTGCGCCCGCTGCCGCAGGAGCCGCCGCGTGGTTGTCCCCCATGAGGCCATCTGCGAATTCTTCTTATGGTCTCCATTCCCAGTGTAACCAGCATGGTCAGCTTCATTTTCACCATTGCTCATTGGGATTGATGCAACCAGTGAAAGGAGTTCATTCGAGTCCACCAGTGGCATGTGTTTCCGCGCCACCACCAGGGACGTCATCAGAGACAACATGGTCTCATCCTTCAGGGGCTTCATGAGTGAATTGTAAAAGGCACGACTGTTCTGGAACACATTCTCCACAACCATCGCTGCTGTGCGTGGGTGCAGCAACACCCCAACCAGACATGTCAGATATGGCGAAGACTTGAACTGCCCAACTAGGTAACCTGAGAGGCACGCATTGCGTACAATGGGATGCTGCCCAGACATGAGCGAGTACGCTTTGCTAATGCACGACGCCGCTGTCGTCGGCGCCACTTCATACTCAGACACAATCACTTTTGCAGAGATGTCACCAGAGGCTCGGGCGCAGAAAATATTTAAGATGCGCACTGGCGTCACGTCAGTGTCATCCTCGTACGTCTCTTCCCCAGGGTCACCGCCAGTGATGCCTAATGACTCGTTCAACGCGCTAAGAGCACCAGATATATCACACCATGGCTTGCGCCCTTCGTTAGAACTGCAGCTCGTGTCACCGCCTTTGCCGCGCAGTGTCCCGCTAAGAGACGGTGAGTCGCCAAAGACAAACCGCTCGTGTGAGTCATCCTCCCCTTCCGGCTCGCGGAACAGCTGCATGAGGGACCCGTTGGACACATCGAACACACCATTGATGACAGGTGGAAGCTTCACCGTGTTGCACCGCGGCGCCGTCGCACCCTCACCGTGGAAGCGGGAGCGTCTCTCCCCAGAGAGTGTGGGGCCTCGCTGCAGTGCCGCAGACACAGGCGGAGTCGTGGTGTGAATGTACAAATCAGCAATGTCAGAAGGGACAGAGGAAGCGTTGACAATGATCTTCAAATAACGTGCAAACGCGTCCACATTCCAGAGAAGGTGATTGGAGGTGCTCTCTGGAAGATATCCAAATGAGACGGCGTTGTTGAGTGTGGGCAAAATCCAGCAGTCAAACAGGACAAACTTCGACAGCCGGTGACTCTCGATGTTTCGGATGAGTCGGTCCGTGGAATCCTGCTGACGCTGGCCCCATGAGCTGGTTGCAACTCCACCGGTGACCCGCTTCTGCCGCATGAGGGCCAGACACTTCCTGACACGAATTGCGGGCTTATCGCTGGCAGTGTCAAGGGTGGCATGCTGCCGTAGTAAATGCAGGTGAAGGGTTGTGCAGAAGTTCGTCAACAAAACAGAGATACCCTGTGGGAGGCGCGTCATGGAGCGCTTGCCATGCAGGGCGCTGAAAAACTCCTCCATTACGTACTGGATGTCTTGGCAGATAAGATCCTCCAGCCGCTCCAGTCGATGGTAGTACGCTGCTTCTTTTTCACCCAAGTGACGCCAGCGACCAAGTTCACGCCCAAAGCTCGTTGTGGCGTCTGTGCTCGGCTCGCCACTTGCGCTTAGCTGCGAGACGGAGGCTCGCGGCGAGGCATGCGGTGGTAGCTCCATGTCAGACCCGTTCACATACAGCAGCACACTCTCTCGTCGGAGAATGTTGAACAGCCGCCCCAGCAGCTCCTTCAGCCATGAGGCGCCGTGAAGTCGGATATATGTCGTGAGAAAAGTGAGCGGCCCAGTGAGGAGCGTCGCGCCGGACGGGAGGTCCGACATGCTGGCGGGTTCGCTGCGCGGGGCAGCACGAGTGACGACCTGCCGCTTCTTCCGGTGCTTCTTGTGGTTTGAAAGTGGTGGCGACCGCTGCATCTGCTCCGCCTGGTGGCGCAGCTCAACCAGGTGCTGACGCTGCACCTCGTAGCGAACGATCGCCTCGACAATGGACGTGGTGGCTTCATGCTCCTGCGCACGGCCAAGAAAGGAGACGGCATCGCCACTCGGCGCCATACTCGCTTCTGAGGGTACGGGCGAGCCGACACCTTTCTTGCTCTCCTGCCCAAGCGACGTGACCGTGTGGCTGCCCATAAAGAGCAAACTCTTTTTGGACCGCGAGGAGGGACGCGAGCTAGACTTGAAATCTACAGGGATGCCACTGTTAGCCGTCGGCGCATCCACGAACCACTGGGCGAGAACAAAAAGTTCTTCAAATGTATCGTCATTCAGCTGCTTTAACGAGCCCCAGTCCATCGTGTCGCTATCTTCGCGAGGCATTGCCGAATTTCCATCTTCGTTGCGTTCCGGCTGTTCGCTCTTCGCAGCACCAGCATCACCGGTACTATCCCCTCCACCACTGTTATTATCTTCGCCAGCTTCATCACCCGTCTCGCTATTCCCGGGATCCGCAGCAGGTGCATCGGCGGCAGTTTTGGTGCTGCTTCGTTCGTTCCCACACTGACGCCGCAGGGCGTCCGGGCTCAAAAATCGAGAAGCGGTGTCAGGGTCGAGCACAATGTCAGTAAGGAAGTCCTGCACGTGGAGAGCCATCGACAGCGTCGTGCGGGCGGTACTTTGCTCGTAAGCGAGGAGGAGGTCCTCAGTGAGTTGCCGCATGACCGTCAGCGGGCAGAGCACCAACTCCGCCGTGCTCTCCTTGGCGCCACGGTTTCGACGCTGTCGGAGGTCGGCCGTGATCTGCCGCTGGTGTTCACTCATCGAACACTCCGCAGTGTGGGTATGGGCCGTCTCGTTAATGAGACCCAGCAGCACATACAGCGCGGCGATGTGGGCATGGCTATAGCTGCAGTCATGAATCAAGAAGAAACTGAACGGCGCCAAAATCCACGCCGTTCGATTTTCGTACGTCTCTCGCCATGTGGCGTACTGACTGAAGAGCGGGAAGCCGATGATCTCCGGGGCACCTTGGCGTCTGCCCCGCTGCCTCGCCACGATCGTGTGGCCTACCAGCCGCTGCAGCGCCTCTGGGGGAGAAATGACAGCAAAGAACGGGGCGAACTTCTCCAGCGTTTGCATGAGCTCCGCGTTCTCGTTCACTTCCTCCGCCGCACTTATTGGCGGAAGCCCCGATCCCCCTTCATTCGGTGCGCCTTTACTTACAGCATCTTGCGGCGACTTGAAGACCACCTTGCCTTGTTTGTCTGGTGTCCATGTGACAACTTCCAAGAGGCGCCGCTGCACACTTGCGGCGATGCGGCCGCGTTCCTTTGCCTCGCGTTCGAACCAAAGCATGATGCGGTTGTCCATGAGCAGGTGCCACGTCTCGCGCTGCAGCCTCAAGAGTTCCTTCGGAACCGCTGACGACGACGGCTGTTTTTGCTGCTGCTGCTGCTCCTGGTCCTGCTTCGGTGATTCAAAGCCCATGCCGGATCTTTCGGTCGCCATCCCGCTCCCAATATCCATGTTAGATTGCATCGACGAGCGTAGGATGGACGGCAGCGTCATGGACATGCGTGTATTCTGTTGCTGCGAGCGTGGGTACAGCGGCGTTGACGCCCCGCTGCCGTTCTGGCTCAGGAAGTTGAATATGTCCCCTGAGAAGAGCTGCTGGTCGGTGAGCATCTCGAGATAGTCGTAGCCGGAGGAGCGTCGTCGCACATCGAGTGAGGGGCGGCGCGAACCCGCACGGCTGGTGGCACCACTCATCACACGCCCCAACGACCGCCGCCGCGACGTTCTGTCGAAGGTGTCGTCGTCTTCGCTGGTGCCGGCGTCGTTGTTGGCGGCCGCGGAGCGTGCGTCGCCGTCGTACCGCACCGACTGCGTGCTCTGCTGCGCATCGTCAGTGGCGGTCTCTGGGTGCTTCGGCATTGGCGGCGCGTACGTGCAGACACCGTGCTTCCTCAGGTACAAGTTGCGCCACTGGTACTCATTGGTCTTGGGCGCGTGAAAGCGAGTGTCCGGCATGCCACTGCAGTATTACGCAGCAAAGGGGGAAGAAGCTCGCCGCCACCGCGGAGGAACAAAAGCAAACAAATAGGGGACGAGCCACCGCCTTTCTACCACAGTAGCCCACGCGTGGAGAAAGAAGGAAAGAGACGACGATGATAAATGCGTTTGCGTTAGCAGGAGCGCGCGTGCACGGCTAGCCTTGTGGCACGGCAAGGCGACACGTCAGGCCGCGAAGGAGAGGCACACACACACAGAGGCACACACACACAGAGGCACACACACACAGAGGCACACACACACAGAGAGACAAATGTATACAGAGGGACACACAGACATATGCACGTGCTCATCTTGACATAAAGCACTCATTCCCGCACTAGCATTGGCCCACGGGTCGAGTTGCTGCTGCTGCAGTTCTATCGAACAAAAAACCAAAAACAAAAAAAAAACACGAATCCCTTCTGTTTTATTTCCCCCCCTCTCTCCCTCTCTCTCTTTCTCCATCTTTGCTTCTCATATTCAGCGCTCATATTTTCACATCACGCGTAGCAAGTCTCATTGTCTTTCTTATCTCATTCTTCTTCCCCTTCACTTCTTCACAGAGAGAAAGAGAGAGAGGCACACACGCCCACACACAGACGCACATAGACACACCAACACCACCACTCCCTCCTCTCAAACACACCCTCCTGCCCGCGCCCGCCGCTACCGCACAATGGTGTTGAATTTTGCGAGCAGCCAAAACGCGAGGGCGAACAACCCGGCAGTGAACACCGCGAGCAGCGCGACGTCGTTGTTGAAGCGCGCCGGCCGCAGCCCGATGTTCGACAGGTACTGAACGCACATGATGGGAATGCTCGTCGCCGCCGGCTTCCCCGTCTCGTCGGTGGGGGAGAAGGTGCACGCCTGCCCGTCGAGCTCATTCACCAGCAGCGCCTCGAAGGCAAGAAAAAAGGGTGAAATCGCCTGGAACAGCCGCAGCGCCGACGGCACCGTCTCCGCCTGCACAAGGAACCCGCCAAAGACGAAGTTCCACAGAATGACGACGCTGCTCAGTAGCGCCGCAGCGCCAAATGACCTCGTAACGATGCCGATGCACAGCACAACCAGTGTGATACATACAGAGAACAGCACCACGACGACGACAAACCAGAAGAAGTGCATACCATCGTCCACGCGGAGACCCATGGGAAAGTAGATAAGCGACGCAAGCACCAACGCCGGCACAATGCGCAGCGGCACAATGTCTACCACGACCTTTGATAGTAGGTACGGCAGGGTGTGGTAAAATCCGTTCTCCCGCTCCACCACGAACAACTTGCGCTCGGCAACAAGCTGCTCAAGGCAGCTGAGTGAAACAAACGACACGACAAGCAGCAGAAAGGTAATGGAGCCAGCGCGATTAAGGGCACCAGGGAGGTCAAGGTTTTGCTCGCGGTACAGCACCATCATGAGGACCCCCACGCACGATGTCACGGCGGCGTGACATACAATCAGGTGGAAAGAGGAGATGAGACAACTCGCCGCCCGCGACGTCAGCAGCGCGAGCTGCTGGTATACGTTCGCGTAGTACACGCGGAATCCGATAACGGTTCGGAGAATGTCAGCGCCCAGCACCAGCCTTTCACCCTCTTCCTCCTCCTCCTCACCACCACCACCAGTAGCAGAAGCAACAGCCTCAGAACCGCTGAGAGCTTCCTGCTGTGAATGCCGGAAGAATTCGGTCCCCTCGTACTGTGTGGCCGCCTGCAGAGTGTCCTCCGCTCGTAGCTCCATGCGTGCGGGGTCATCGAGAACCTCCTCCAGCTTCATGAGGTATTCTGCGTGGTTCGGGTGGTCGGCGCTTCGGGGCACGGCACGCACGCCGCCAATTACCCGCAGCACGCGCGCCTCGAGCGTTGCGGCAGCGCAGCGGGCGGGGCCACTGTACACGTTCACCCCACGCGAAAGCAGGAGCAGTTTGTCGAAGAGTTCAAATATCTCCTGCGACGGTTGATGAATGCTGAAGATGACGATGGGCTTAAAGGCAAAGTAATGGGGTGCGTACGCCCGCATCGGGGACTCCTTCGCAAGCTCCACAACCGCATCCATGACGCGCTTCGCACTCACCGCGTCTAAGCCACTGGTCGGTTCATCAAGGAAGAGGATGCGCGGATTCGCCAAAAGCTCCACTGCGATGGAGACGCGTCGCTTCTCGCCTCCACTCACACCGCGTAGGCCGCTGCCATCGCCAATCACCGTGTGTTCACATCGCTGGAGTTTCAATGCCTCAATCATGTGCCGCACAATGTTCTTGATGGTGGCATTAGAGAAGGCCTGTGGGAGCTTCAGCCGTGCCGCGTATTCAATCGTCTGGTACACTGTCAAGGCTGGCAGAAAGGTATCCTCCTGCGAGACGTACCCAATGATGTTGCGATACTGCTCGATCACTGAGGCAGAGTTGGTGGAAACTGCTGTGCCATTGAAGGTTATACTCCCTGTTGTCTGACCTTGTTTGCTGCGGGCAGACAGGAGGTCGAGCAGCGTTGTTTTACCCGCGCCGGATGGCCCAAGAATGGCTAGCACTTCGCCCGAGCGCACTGTGAAGTTCACTTGATGCAAAATCAACCGTGTCCTCGCCTCTTCGTGTATGGCGAAGCGTGAGCCTATCAGGGCGTACTCCAAATCCGTCACCTTGAGCTCAAACGACGACCTGGTCAGCTTCCGGGTGAACTCCACTTGGTCCGCTTCGTAGGGTGTGGTGGTGAAAGTGCGCCTCGCATCGCTCGTGGCATGCACATGACGAGTGCGGCTATGAGACACCAGACCAACGAACTCGTTAGCATCGGGTACGACTTCCTTGGTGTTGTCCTCTGTTTGAACCTGCCGGTTTGGCTGTCGCACACTGTCCACCACATCACCAACGCTTCCCTTGTCAAAGAATCTCTCTTCCACAGTTTCCTCCTCAAGCATCTGTCCGAGGCTCCCTGATAGCGGGAGCGTCTCTGAGAGGCTAAATATGCGAATGAACTCAAGGGCTTTACGTTTTGACTTTGAAGATAACCAGAAAGCGTGGGTCATGATCGCCATGATTGATAGTACAAATACGAGGGCAACTATAACGAGAAGGTTGCGTTGGGCCCGTGCGATAATTGACTCCTCCATTGAAGGCCCATTGGGAAACTGTCGCGTGTTCACGCATTCGCTAGCGTTGCATTGAAGATCAAACATAAGTGCGAGATCAGCGAGCGTCAGTTGGCACAACTTTGTCTGCAGGTTACACGCAAAGCGGATACTGTTCCTGATCATTGGAAGTATCTTGTCATTGAGGATTGTATTCGCGCAGATTGGTTTGTTTCCTGATGGGGGGTATTCGGCGCAACTGCACTCCGTCTCTTTGCACTCATACACAGCAAGCATCGCCGGGTGCCTCGGACGCATATTGCCAAACATGACGCCGATGAAGAGCAACGTGAATACCACAAGTGTGATACCCAACCCGACCAGAATCCTTGCCATGAGACGACGACCAAGCTTGGACGAGACACAGCGCAGCAGAGCTAAAAGCGAACAGAGGGTGACGAGCACCACTTGCCCTGTCAGGGTCAACGCTTTGAAAACGCGTTTAGATGTCTTGGTACTGTTGTCGTCCTTATTTATCTCTTCGGTTGCCAGGCGCATTGAGCATTTCGACGTGATACACCGGAAAAATGGATCGACAAATGTGTGATTTGGCTCAATGCGATACAACGTCATGGCGCAAACACCGCTGTTGCCACTGGCGAAGGCGCCACCGTCTTCTGTGGTACAGTTGAGTGTGACAATCGCCTCAATCTTGCGACCGCCACCCATGAGGTTGATAAAAAACGGAGAGTCAAGTGCGCACTCAAACTGTTTGTTTGCTCCTCGGACGGAAAGGCTCTGGTTGCACTCACTCGAGTCGCCACTAGAATCGTGACAAGACCCGTCACGTTGACACATCTCGCAACGCAAGCCATTGAAATTGTTTGAGTCAGCGCACGTACAGTTACCATTTGTTTCTGGTTGGCCCCCGTGGGTACAGTTTTCTTTTGGTGGAACCGTCATTGCTGCTGCATAGTCAGCCGCGATGCTGCTGGCAAACCCACTGAATTGCGACTCCCAGAGCGTTGCAAGAGACGGGCCCAGGAGGTGCACCGCCGCCGCATCCTCTTCTAGCGGATAACTGCAGTTCACTGTTTGCGGGAGCATCAGAGTCGCAACCAAACATAGTGCCACTAAGAAGAAGCGCCCCATTGGCGCATATTTCATACCTTTTTGTTTTCCAAATGTGTTTCCCCTACGGACACCAGGGCTATTTCTCCCTCCCCCACAAACACACCAACGGCAACAAAACCACAAGGACACAAGGTGGCTCATTAGGAGCAAATAGGAAGATAAAGATGCCAAAGGCAGACAGTTGTTCAGCGAGGCCGTCTCATGCTTGAACCCCAAAAAACTGCATGGCTTATCAAAGCTGACATCACCCCCTCTCTCCCTTAAAGAAATGCCGTTCCCGTTCCCATTCTCTTCTCAGGCTCAATTATGTGGGTGCGTGTGAAAGTCATGTGCTGAATTGCGTGAACATGTCACACGGGAGGAGTGGCTACGGGAGAACACCGACCCACATGCTGCAAATATGTCCGCTTATAGGCACCAAGACCAAACATATTCGTATATTCTTGTCGTCATACAAGAGGTATACGAAAAAGCACCCCCCGTGGGGCTCGAACCCACGACCACACGGTTAAGAGCCGTGCGCTCTACCGACTGAGCTAGAAGGGCCACGGGGGCTCTGTGAGTGTCAGATGTCATAAATCCTCTTCACCACCCCTTTTGACTCCCCACCACAACCACCACCCACACACACACACATCAACAACGAAAATGAAAAATTTTACTTTTGCTGCTGTTATCGGGGCACATCGACTACTCAGCTGTCAACTAGTGTCGCACTTGATTTACGGCGACACTGTGAGTAAATAGGAAAAGCCGGTGTTTTTTCTTTGTCTGCGTGTGTGAGTGTGTGTGTGTGTGTGTGTGTGTGGGGAATTCTGCGCCCTTCAGAATGGGAAGATGGAAAAGAGTGCGCGTGGCGGCATTGGAAGCCTCCCCCTACTCCCAGGCGGATGATGGACCCACGCGGGGAACACACACACACACACCGTCCACCTCGAATAGGAACAGATAAAGAACCTCCGCACCTTTTTTCTTCTTTCATTTACCGGTGAAAATAGATGCCGGGAGGCGATGCCACACCCATGCAAAGAGGGAAACACTCAATAGATACAAATAAACGTCGACCAATAGAAATAAAGTAACAAAAAAAAACGACCGTAAACGAGAAAAAACAAAAGACCTTTATTTGCTCCTGATTTCTCTTTTTTTTTCTTTTCCCCCTCTCCTCCGTCTTCCACAACTCAAGAAACCTCCCTGTTTTTCTCTTTACTCTTCTTCTTGTTGCTATGAATTCCTTTACGCAATATATTTAGATATATATATATATATATATATATATGGGGGAGGGGGCTTCACTCACCGCTACCGCTCGGATCTTGCAGCCGCCGCTTCTTAATGATCCAGGGAGGCGATATCGATGACGAAGCGGTACTTAACATCGCCTTTGGTGACCCGCTCGTACGCTGTGTTGATATAGTCCGCCTTAATCATCTCAATATCCGAGACGATGCCGTGCTTGGAGCAGAAGTCGAGCATTTCTTGCGTCTCTGGGATGCCGCCAATGAGGGAACCGACGACAGACTTGCGGTTCATGATGAGCAGAGCAGCCGGCACCGGTGGGTGTTGCTTCTCTGGGATGCCAATCAATATGTGCACGCCGTCCGTCGTGAGGGCGAGGATGTAGGGCGTCAAGTCGTGCGCGGAACCGACTGTGTCAATGACAACGTTGAGGGTGTTCTGTACCGCTTTCATCTGCTCTGCGTCCTTGGAGAGGACCACGTGGTCAGCGCCCAGCTTCTTAGCCGCATCCCGCTTGCCCTCGCTGGTGGTAAAGACGGTGATTTCCGCCCCCATCGCCTTGCCGATCTTCACCGCCATGTGGCCCAACCCACCGAGGCCGACAACGCCAAGCTTCGAGCCCGCCTTCACGCCCCAGTGGTGCAGCGGCGAGTACGTCGTGATGCCGGCACACAGCAGTGGCGCAGCTGCAGCGAGGTCGAGGTTAGACGGAACGCGCAGCACGAACTCCTCCTTGACCACAATGTGGTCCGAGTAGCCGCCTTGTGTAATATCCTTGCCGTCACGAGTGTGAGAATTGTACGTCGCAGTGTTTCCCTCCACGCAGTACTGCTCGAGACCTTTCTTGCACTGAGGGCACTTGCTGCACGAGTCAACCATGCAGCCCACACCAACTGTGTCGCCCACCTTGAACTTCTTCACTTTTGGACCGACAGCCGTCACGTGGCCAACAATCTCATGGCCAGGCACCATCGGGAAGAGGCTGCCACCCCACTCATCACGCGCCTGGTGGATGTCGCTGTGGCACACACCACAGTACGCGATCTTGATGCTCACGTCATCTGGTCCCACAGCACGGCGCTGGAAGCTGAAGGGAGCAAGGGGGGCCTTTGCGGTCTGAGCCGCGTAGCCTTTCGCGTTCGTTGCCATGATTTTGATCAATAATAATTTGCCTGGTTGTTTGTGTTTTGCTTCTCTTTCGCTATGAAGTCGTTGCTTTACCTTGGTTTCCCGGGAAGTCATCATCGCATGATGAGGACAAGGGGGAGATAGATAGAGAGAAAAAGAGAATGAAATAGCCCACCACTTCGTCAGCCGCCGCCGCCGCCGCCGCCGTAGCAGTAGTAGTAGAGTTATTCACCACAACCACGTTAATAGACCACACGAATGGATATACCAAAAAAAAAAATCAAAGAGACCTGTGAGAAGAAGCCTCGGGAATCCCATCTGGCAGCAACCGCTGTTGTTCTTGTATTAGTAACAGCAGCATCAGAAACAGCAACAATAGTAGCGAACAGTTCTACCTTTGCTCCAGACAGTTCTGGAGAGCTGCCGTCGCAGCAAACAAACGACCATGCCCTTCCGTGACACGTTTCCAAATCGCCCCAACCACATCTTTAGAATACGGCTCGATTGTGTCGTCGATGACAAAGATACAACAGAAAACGGGACAAAAAGCATACCGCAAACCTTTTGAAGTAGACGGCTTGAAGTACTCGGGTGAGACCACACATGGAAAGCGGACCGAGAGCCACGAAAACGCATTGGTATTGGCGGTGACAATGAGGAAGGGGCGGCATTGCCCGCGAAGAGCCGACCGGATGGCGGGGTAGATGTGCTCACCGACCAAGGGATCACCAGTCATCGCGTATGAGAGCAGACACACCTTTTCCTTCTTCCTTGGCCCTCGCTGGGGTGCTGTCTGTGAGCAATTAAACAAAGCAGGTACATCTTTTGGGTGGGGCGTTGTTCCGTTGCTTAGCTGTGAATTCATGATGATGGCGGTGCTGCTACTGCTGCCACCACTCATCCTGATACCGCAATCCCCCGATGGCACCACCCTCTCGTTGTGCTTCTTAGATGGAGGACGGGCCTTCTTGAGAAAGGGAAGAAAAAGAGGGAACACTCTGGGTGAATAGGCCGTGAGCCACCCCTCTACAAACTTCGAGTCCTTCACCAAAATGCTTGGCAGCAGAAGCCGCGCCATCGTCTCCATACCGCGCTGGAGCGTCAGCGCTTCGTAGAGAGACTTGCTGGGGCCCACAATGAGGACGACCTCCCCGGCGATCCACAACTTCGCCTGCTGTTGGCTGCTGTCGTGGGTCCAGTACGTTGGCTGTAGCGCCGTTGTCTTTGCGGTGTCGCTATCCTTCTCAGTGACTGCATCGCCGCACAACATTCCGCACACACCGTTCGCCCAGAGGGTCCACTCACTCTCCCTTTGAGGGTCGCGGCATCTCTGGTACGCCTCGAAGGAGGGAAGACGATCGTCTACAGCCTCGATGTGGGTGAAGTCCGCAAATGTTGCGTCCGCGTTGCAGCCCTCGGTCCAGGCGCTGCGCAAGAGTCCGTTCACATCACGATACGTGGGGCTGCGCAGCGACGCGAGGCGTAACACCGACGCGTGCGCCAACTCGAGCGGGTACGTTTCTTCATCATTCTGTTGCTTTGGGTCTCCCTCACTTCTTACGTTCAGTGCTGCTGCAGCAGTCTTGTTGACCACGCTACGTTGCTGGATGACAGCGCGATCAGGCCGAACAGTGCGCCGTTCTCCTCCCACGTTATACAGCGCGTCAAGAAAGAGCGGACGGTACTCCTGAAAGTACTTCATATCGCACTTGTCGTTGAGGTACATCCGCAGCTTCCTGCTTGTTGCCAACCCCGCATCCACAACGCGGTTCCAGTACGCGGTAGAAAAGAGACCCCCCTCCCGCTGCAGGGTGACATAGTTGCTGAACTCCTTCGCCGTCATCATCTTCTCATTCTCCAACTTAACTCCGTTATCACCATTCTTTTCCTCCTGCGGTTTACGCACCACATCCGATAGCACATATGTAGCACCTTCGCTCACAACCGAAACCTCGTTCGCGGGAGCCAGCAGTAACTCCCCCACAACGCCTTGTGCAGCACTTGAAGCAAACAGCACCCGTATAAGTACGTAGTGGGCATACTCAGCGGAGTCACTCTTCGCCTTGAAGTCATACTTCTTGTGCACCCCACAAATGGACGCAAGCACGCCACTCAGCTGCGCTACAGCACATAGGTGGGAAAACACAGAGTACCGAAGTTTGCGGCATGCTTGCCCTAATTGGCACAAATCGCGCAAATTCATAAATGCCCAGCACCTCCGCATAGGTCTTATCCCCGCCTCAGAAAGCACGCTCATCATGTACCTTGTGGAGAGTACAACTCGCCCAATCACAGTTATTGGCCCCGTTTGGGCTTCTTCCGTCTTGAAACCCACAACCTCACCAAGCAGTGAGCCCCTCCCCAAGTGCTGCACGATGTCTTTTCTGAGATCTTCCATGTCGGACTGCAGTTTCCGTAGGCATATCACTGCCTGGGGGAAGTGAATGTGGTGAGACCACTTCAGCTTCTTCGTCACCACAGAGAGTCCAGTGCAGTCCATAAGAAGCATAGACGAACTGGACACAAAACGCTTTTGGAACCATTGCCAAATGAGTGCCAAAACCCCAAACGACCTCACATCGGCGCCATCAAAGTCAATTGCCAAGTGCGTGTCTTCTGTGACGATTTCATTCACAAAGGCAATTGATCCCGAGTCAAAGAGAGTGAGGATCCTGTTGAAGAGTTCTGGTGTGTCAATGCAGGGGATGAGGCGGTATGAGAACACCGGACCTGTTGTGAAGTGCGTCGCGCAAGCCTTTTCCTGAATGCGGTTGAACGGCGTCAACGCGTAGTGGCTATGGTGACCACCCTCGAACGGACGCCCTTTAACCAAAGCATACCGCATAGCACTCTCATGGTCGATGAGGGCCACACAATCGTAGCGGAACTTCTCCTCAAGAGAATCGCCATCGTGACGAAGGTACGGGCACGCATCCTCCGCGCGGGCCAGCATCCCCGCAGTGGCCGCGTCGCTCTCGCGAGCCCGCACGCAAGGGATGCGCTTGAAGAAGTGGCGAAGCAACTGCCGCACCCGGTCAAGTCCCATGTGCCTCTTATACACCGCACCGAGGATAGCCTCCATCATATCCGCTTTCACCTTGAGGTCCATGCCAGTGTAGCAATGCGAGAGCCGCCTGCTCAGCTCGTCAGGGATAAGGTGGGAGAGCACCTCATTGCGGCACACCAGCTGGACGACATCCAAGTTCCATGGTTCCCCCAGCAGGAAGCTATCAAAGCTCACCAAAAAGTCCATAATGGCGTCACCAATGAATTCCATCATCTCATAGTTTGCGTTCGGGCTCTCACACTCGCGCGTCAACGCCTGTTGAAGGACTCTGAGGTCGGGGAAATCCTTCAGCTCCAACTCTTCGGCGATTTTGCGGACAAAGGCGATGTCCAACAGAGCGCGCCGCCGTATCTCATACACCCCCTCCGTGTCATCGTCTTCCGCCCTGCGGCACAAGAGGCCGAGACTTGACACCCATTTCTTAAAATTGGCGATGTCTGTGCGGCGATTCAGAAGTGGGCCGCCGTTGGCGTCCCACTTTGGGAAAGAGACGAGCGCGATGAACTTTTCGGGGTCCGCACACATCTCAAGCACCCGCACCTTGGCATCGTCCATGTTCAGAGCGGCGGTGGTGCGGCGCCCATCACGAGAGATTAGGTCTAACTCCTTCACTGCCGAACTCTTACCCCCCATACAGCATCGCTCCCCGTTGTCTTTCATCCCGCCATTCCCACTGCCCGTAATGCCTCCGGCCGTCCTGTCAGTGCCGAAGATGCGCTCCACCTCCTCCGCGGAAAAGCCGTCTGGGTCAATGCCTGCCAACGCAGAGATTTTCCCGAAGCTGAGATCTGACGACTGACCGCCCGTCTCTGTTGCGCGAATGTCGTCCGCTGTGCCACCGAGTATTCTCACGTGACCAGTGAAAAAGTAACGCGGGATCTCGATGCCGTCGCTGTCCGCGCTCTCCTTGCGGGACGGGAAGATGGCCCAGTGCACGGCGGCATCCGCCCGTTGCGGCATCTGCACCACCCGCATTTGCTCGTCCCGCACAGCGGCGCGAAGACAAAACTCCAGAAAAAACTGCGCTGCTTTCTTCGATAACTTTTCGTCGTACTGCTCTTCTGGCGGTACGTCTTCACGGTAGCGAAGGAACTCATCAAAGGACTCCTGCGGGAACGCATAGACAAATAAAACATCTTCATAAAGTTTAAACGGCTCCGTGGTGATCTTATCTTTACGTGGCTTCTCCACAGGTACCCATGCAAGTGGTGGGCACGTGCTGGGGTCGGTTACGTGTGCAAAATCCCTGAAGATGCTCTCGGAGATCGAGTGCCCACACCGATGGGCGTAGAGCGCGCGGGCGCACAACTGCCCCTCAAAGGAGCTGCCTTTGACATCGCACACCCCCACCTGAAACCGCTGAAAGCCGTCGTGTTGCTCAAAGAGATGCTGCAGATCCTCCTCTTTTGGCGAGACGCGTCTGGTCGCCTCGGTGCGGCTCCCCAGTAGCCTTTGTATCTCACTGAGCGGCATCCAGCCATTGCTCTGCACCACACGTTCGAGGTCGCCTCCCATCAGGTCCTTGTACGGCGACTGAAACCGCAGCAGGCGGTGCACCTCATACATCCACATCTTCATATGCTTCGGGGAAGAGGTCGGGCTAGACCTTTCCTTGCGCTTCTCCGACTTTCTGTTGCTCTGAAACTTCCTCCCCTGCTCTGTCACGATGGCGTAGAAATCCGTGAGCCGCCTCCCCGTCTCGCATGACTGCTCGGCGTCTTCGTAGAACACACGCACGGTGTAGAGCTCACAGGTGCCGTCTGTCCGGTGCCCCTCAACCTCCTTCCGCACGTGCACTCCACGTTTCTCAAGCGCCCCCAACAGCTTCATAATCTGCTGTTTGTGCGAAAGAACGCCGTGCGCCAGGCCGGGGAAGAAGGCGGAGAGAATGGATGGCAGACTGATCGCGTACTCATTATCGCGCAGAATCGACTGGAACACTGGCAGCAGCAAGCAGCTCGCCACCTTGATGCCGCTTGCGTACACCACAAGGGCCAGGAATGGCATGAATACGTCACGCCTCGAGATAGCAAAGCCGTAGTAGTCCTTCAGCACAGGGCACAGTGTCTCGGTGCCGCTGAGCACACGTGTCACGTTGGTCACCTTCGCCGTGTCTGCGGCTGGGAAGTTGAGGCACGCGAATTCCGACGCAAGCGCCTTGGTGAACTTTTCCCCTGCGAGCGAGGTTGCGCTGACACATTTCCCCTTCACCAGAAGCGTGGATGCGTGGGGAACGTTGTACTGCAGCAGATGCTGCAACTCCTCCGTGCCGATGCGCTTCTCCACGTCCTGCAGCGCGTTGCACAGCGGCGTGCCGCTGCCCAGCCACGCCACCAAGGCCTCCGCGACCGTGACGATGCCGGCGTCCATGGCTCCCAGCGAGTCCCACCGTCCAGCAGCAGCACACCCCCCACTGCTGCGCGGCGAGCCAACAGACAAAAGAAAGCGAAGGAGACATGGAGACACAACAGAACAAAAGCAAATTTAATTGTTCAACCTCCAGCCACCGGCAACGGAGAACATAACCACAGCAGGGGACGAAATGTGCAATCGGAAAAAAAGATAAGGGAGGAGTCGAGTATCCTTCACGGGTAGGCGAAGAAATTCGTTGCGTGTGTGCCCTGCGCAAACCTCGCGTCCGTTCATGGGAGCAGGAACACCTGCTCCACCAGCGGCGACACCTCCGCCGCGATGCTCCAACTCACACGTGCACCCGCCGTGTCACCGCCATCAACCACAGCCTTGGCATCTGTTTCACTGGCATGCAGCTGCCGCCGCGGCTTCTGAACCCTTCTCCAGTAGTCTTCAGAAAAGGAAGCCGCCGCCGCGTCGTACGCCTGGGCCTCTGATGCGAACATGGAGGTCAACTCCTGAAGAACCTCTCTGCAAACCGTTTCCACCGCTGTGGCAGCTACAGCACCCGCCGCCCCCTCCCGCTGCTGCTGCTGCTGCTCAACGTGATAGAGGAGGCACTCAACGCACTCCTGCCAGTCCGAGAATTGGTGCTGCTGCATCCAGTGATGGAGGGGGGCGCCTAGCAGCTCCTGCGCGCGTATCAAAGTGGAGGCCGCCCTTGTCGCCACGCCTGGATGCTGCAGTGCCGCGCCTACCCCGTTGCTGTCGAAGAGAAACAAACACCGACGGCGGAGATGAAGCACACTCTCGCACATCCTTCACAGCAAAGACACACCTGCGACACAAGAGGCCGCCGGGGAAGAAAGGAAAAAAAAAAAGGAGAACGGAAGAAAGATTGGAGAATCGACCGTAACTGTAACTTTACCACGCCCTTCGAAAACGCGAGAGCACAGATATCACCTCCACGCTACCGTCCCTCCAGGGCTTTTTCTTTGTTTTTGCTGTCTCGCCCTCCTTCGCGTCAACTGCACAAGCGGCGCCAGAACTCTACATCAACGCCATCGCCCGACTCCTCCTCTTCCTCGCTACCTTCCATACCATCATCTTCATTCTCCTCCCCGGCAGACTCCATGTCCTCGGCGACAGACGCACACTTCTCGTTGCCACCGGCGACGTCGTGCTTCTCTGCCGGAGGCGCATCGTGTGACAGAGTTTCTATTGCTGCTGCTGCAGAGAAAAAGCGACGTGCAGCTGCCTCCGCCGCCACATCACCCACAGCGGGGTCTGCCGGACTGCCGCCGAGACCCTCGAACGTGCTGGCGAGCAGCGCCGCCACGACGTCTGCGGTGCGGCCGTCGCACGGCTCCTGCTCTATACGCTGCGACAGCGCCCGCAGCTCCGACGCGTT